ACATAATTTTGCAAGATTATATATATATATATATATATATATATATATGATGTTAATAATTCATAATCAAAAACTATTTAAATATTTTTAACTTTTACATATTATTTGAGTAGGATGCTCTCTTATGAACCCACTGTGCTGATTTGTAGCGGATTGCTACACTAGTAAAGCCTGACTGACTCAGATATCTCCGTGGCAGGTTCTCCTACATCTAGCTAGACTACCAGAACTAGCTAAGCTACAGCCCAACCGTAGAGTAAACAGACGTATCGCATGGAACACGTTTATTCAGTAGGGTTATTGTGAGTAAAGTGTACACTCAGGGAGTTTAGTCATAATCAGAATAACGGATTTGGTTAAACAAACGGAGGCTTCTGATTGGGCACTGGTTGTACGGTGCCTGAACACAGAGTGGTACGGCCGCACCTCCCGATCCTGCCGTGCAAACGTGCGATGACGTGTCCCACCGATTTGAGCGAATGTTAACAAAACAGTGCTGATTTAGGTGAATGTAAGGTATTATGAAATAAGGTGTCACGGAAATTAAAACTAGTTATTTTCCCATTTACGGGGTGTGCGATAGACTTACCTCCACATGGTACACCCTGGGCAACGTATGCTCATACGGCAAAAAAGTCTATCAATGGGCATTTGACTACTGACTTCAAAATACCATCGCCCCACTGTATGTCATATTCGACTACTGTCATACTACGCATGTCACCTTCTATCTACCTTAGTCTTTGAAACACTCTTCTATCCCCTCCCCCCCTCTCTCTGCTTTTTTTCACTTTGATGTCCCTCCTCCTCTCTGTGAAGGGAGAAGTCAACTAAAGGGCTAATGATAACTATCAAAATGCCTAATTTACCCATTTACAGCTATGATAATCCATCCAGAGTCTCAGTCCCTGGCCTGAAATATGTTCTCCGGTAGTGGATAGTTGACAATTGATAAAGGACAGAATCTCTGCATTTGGATAGAGAATTGTCGACAACCAAATATTTTAATAAAAAGCGATGTATTCGAGTTACTATTATATCTCACAATCAATTTATGTAAGTTCGCTTTAATACTTTCTCTCATCGTAGTAGATTTGAAGACTTAACCCGCCCGGTTAATTCGGATTTGTGAGTTCATTCACTCTACATTGCATTATCCATGTGACCCACTAAATAGGACTCGCGTCTATGGTGTTATGCATGTGTGTATACTTTTAAAATTGTATGCCTAGTAGTATGTAAAGTCTAAACTCACGATTTGCACAAATTTCCCAATCAAAGTGAGTTTATTGGGGAAATAAGGTAAGTGGAAAGTCTTCAGCCTCAAAAACAGGAGACTGCGACTTAATTAAGTATCTATTTAGGAAATGAGAAATGAAAACTCGTAGATTTCTACTCATCAATGTATATATATATATATATATATATATATATATTGGGTGTGCGATAGACTAACCTCCTCGTGGTGCACCCTGGGCAACGTATACTCATACGGCAAAAAAGTCTATTAACTGGCAGTTGACTTCTCACTTCAAACAACCATCACCCCCACTGTATGTCATATTCGACAACCACCACAGTACTCATCTTACCCTTTCTGAGCCTTTGTGTCTGTCTGTTTCTTTCACATCTGTGAATCACTCTTCTATTCCCCCATCCTGAATTCTTCTCACTTTGATGTTCCTCCTCCCCTCAGTGTATCTTGAAGTCAACTAAAGGGCTAATGATAACTATCAAAACCCCTACCATTTGTTATATATATATATATATATATATATATGTGTGTGTGTGTGTGTGTGTGTGTGTGTGTGTATGTGTGTGTATGTGTGTGCGTTTGTTTGTTTGTTTATTTGTTTTTCTATTTGTCTAGCATACGCTTAAGGTCTTAGTATGTGCACATTCAGAGGCACCTTTTTTAATAATGTGAAGGTTCGATAACTATTTTACTAATATTACTCCATCCTAAATTTTTCATTCGATCCACTCGTGTGGTCCTTCGTAAAATCACAATTTTGACAAAATTGTTATTTCTATCACTTGATGTCCCTCTATGCGGACACTTAAGATGTTCATCATAGTTGCAACTTTCCTTTGCAACATTATCTTGTATCGAGACATTGATCTGGGTTTTCATTGTTTTTCTTTGCATTTTCTCAAATCAATCAACTTAGGTGTTGTTTTTCTTATGGTAAGGTATATGCGTCGACCAGTGACTCAATTAGTTTTAGACGATACCAAGTACCTAATGATTTATTTAAGTCTTGAAAGAAGGGGTAAACAAACGCCTAGCTAAGTTTTTTTCCAGGAGAGATTAGTAGGAATTTGATATCGTCGGTGTACACCCAGTGAGAGGAATATTCAATTGTTAAGTTCGGCCAATAAAAGAAATTGCAGAATTCCTGTTTAACGCTTGGGTGGATCAAGAAGTCCTTTCCAATACTAAAAATTGGCGTTCAAAAAACATTCTTCTAAGTAGTCTCTGAAGCACATTGGATAATATTGAAAATGAGAATAATCAGTTTTCTCCATTATCGCCCTACTTGGATCTGGTTGATAAACTTAGAACGCCTTTACTATGAATTTGCTTATAGAAATTTGGAATGATTGAAAAATATGAAATTGGAATAATATCACATAAAGTAGTGGCATAGAACCAAGAATGTAAAAAATACATTTCTATCCAAGTTTCTCCAAGTAATATATAAATATATATATATAGTTTGTTTATTATTGATTTTCGATGACGAGCGAATTGTAAAATTTAATAAAAATAAATAATTATCGGTTTCAGATTTACTAATTTTGCCCCATACCAACGTGTTCTTATGTCGAATAAATACTTTAAACAATAAAATCATTTTAAAAGAAAACCGAAACTTATAACAATTAGAAACCGTCAGATATTATATTGAAAGAGATAACGGTAGACCCTACCAAATCCGTAAACATATGTTGATATGTATCGTCAGGAGAGTGGAATGATCAAATCAGACTTTTCGATCTAACAACATATGAACATTATGTTGAATGGCCAAAATTTGGTTGTAAAATAGATTATTATTTATTATTCATCAAATTTAATTGAGAGGATGGCGATTTAATTGGTAGCCTGCTGGCAATTGAATAAGACAAGTGGTATAACTCTATTCTGTCGTTATGAGAACTTACCGTTTTAGAGTAAGATGGATATGCATCCAACGGAAATTACTGCTTGCTTCATGCTATATAATTCACCACTAATCCAATTCGAAGTACAAGATTTGCATCTAAGAAATATGAATAGCGTAAAACACTAAACGCTTTAGACGATTTAAAGATTAAAGCAAATTAGTCTTTACCAGAGCAAAAAAATCATTATATACTTAATGTGTCCTTTTATTACAATTAATCAAGAATGTTTGGTAATGTGAACAAATACGACCTTGAGTTTCGCGACAATTCAGATATCCAGAATCGGGCTCGTTTGTGACGTTTTTGGATTTTTGTAGAAATTGAGCATAGCAATGGCATGTATATTAACTATTATTTTATAAAATTAATGTATTTATACACATTGAATAAATTTTTTGAATATCTCGTTATACTTTGATTTCTTTTATGATTACTCAGTAAAATTCAGGTATGAATACATATTCATGCCTTCCCCTTTCGTAAGATCATTACTCTTATCTTCATTCTAGTTCATATCCTAAAGATCATCAATGCTATTTTTGATATTAATTTAATGCAAAGACCAGTGTACTAAGAATTCTTGCTCCCCTTCTAATGGGGAGCAAACAGGTTACTATTTATGCTTTTAGTATTCCAAACATTAAACGATCTTCAAGGATATCTAAAAGCGCATGATATAGAGCAGTAGAAACTGATTGTGATACTGCAATCCAATTTACAAGCGAACTTTTTCCATTTTAGTCATCGAATCCATGTTTTCGCATGCGTGTACTTGAATAGACCAAAATGAGTTCCTACGGTATCACCTGAATTTCTACCTTTGTTTAGTCAGAATGATCAATTGACGCCATCTTCGAAATCCTTTAAAGTTGATCGATTTATCTTTCAGCCACAAACCACATTGTAACTGAGCATTCTCGATATATGTCTGCAGGCAGACCCACATGAATGCAACATGGACTACTTGGGAAGGTCTGAGGTACGCTCGACCACAACGACAATGCGAAAGGGGGGAAATTTAACTAACTTGGAAAAAACTCATGATTGGTACACATTTGTACCACCAGGACAAAGAATTTTCAACCAGTAAAGTCTAAAATAAAAATTTCCAAAGAGTGCATCACTCAGAAAGTATGAAATAAAATATTTTCAGGAAAGAGGTGATTAAATGACTCGTAACGAATTGCGGGATACACTTTCCAGTACAGCTGAAATTTCGGACCTTCCACAATCAACTGATAAAGGTGAGTAGAAAGGAAAACAGTGATAATGGAGGATAGGAGGTAGTAGGGGAGGGAAGGGTTGTGTTATAAACTTCCCTCCACATGGTGCTTACTAGGCAACGTATACTCATTCGACAGTTGGCTTCTGACTTCAAACTACCATCACCCCACCGTATGCCATATTCGACTACTCTCACAATACTCATCTCACCTTTATTCTACCCTCGTGACTGTCTCTTACATCTTTGAAACACTCTTCTCTTCCCCTCAACTCTCGATATTTATCACTTTGATGTTCCTTCCTTCAATGAAGCCTGGAGTCAACTATGGGGCTATTGACGACTATCAAAACGCCTGCCATCTGATATAAATATGTATTCTCCATAGAACATCTCAAAAAGATAAAAACGAGGTAAATTGCATACAAAGACTATTTAAATATAACGCGTCAACAAAATCAAGACAGCCAAATAGATAGCGTGAGAAGGCCTAACCCGTATCATTAAAAACTTAGTAAGCCATTTTCCAACAACAAAGACAAGACACATCGAAAAAGCAAGAATATCATTTTTGGCATATTTACAAGCACATACACAATTGATATCTCTACTTATCCGTATTTTTCTTCACAAATTTGAGCGAACGAGGCTCGGTGAGCGCAGCTTTTGAAGCAGCTTCAGATTCAACCTTCTCGTTTAGAAACTTCTCGTAGTTCTTCTTCATTTTATTTAAATCGGCATTCTGCTTCTTGCATGGTATAACTCTTTGTCCTTTCTTTGTTTTTCCTTTGTTCTTTTTAATAGAACCTCCTGATTTTTTAATTTGGAAATTAGCCTTGCACTTCACCTTCATCTTTCCTTGCGCCATCCTTCCGATTAGTGCGCCTTGGTCGTCAATACAGTCAAACGGTGTGCGTAATAAAGATAATATATCCACTAGTAGTTTCAAATATTTTTTAAGAATGAATTATTTTATAAGAAAAAAATAAAAGATAATTATGAATTACTAAGATATTGATGGATGAAGTCAGGTCAACTTTTATTTTTTGCAATTTTAATGTTTGCTGAAGGACGAGAATAAATATGTTATCAATACATAAGACCTAAACCAAATTTTGGAAAACATTTATCAATAAAATTAAATCATCATACATTAATTAATAGTTTACGGACTTTTAGACAAGATTTTTTGTTATATCAACTTAGCAATATTTATATCACTGCCAAGAGTGTGATAATCATCATAAGTCAATCAATTGATCATCACGCTATTTTTAATGTCTTCTAAAATCTGCGTTGAATAAATTGACAGTTCATATAATTAACATTTTAACCACTTAAAATACATTGGCGAAAATAAACATCAATGCTTGATATGTCGGTTCAGAATATTCATTCAGGGTTCCACCGATAGATAATAAAAAACACTTAAAGAATAGTCTGCACGAGCAAGTTGCCGCTATTAGCTATTTGTATGTATTACTGTTTGCGTAATTCAATACAGCGTAATGTTCGAAATAAAGATTTTTCATAATTGCGACGAATTAATTTTGAAGCATATTAGTAATCAAGGGCAGAAAATATGTCTTTTTCAATTTACTACTTAATTGAACGAGAGATGATTGGATTTCTTAATCATTTTAAGGCAGCATGGCAGAAATGCTTGTCTTTAACAAGGTAATTGTATTTAGGCAAAAGTGGAATTTTCAGAATGCATATAAAATATTCATTTTGGTAGTATGACATTTTAATTCTCCCAAGCTATAAGTTTATTTTGCTATTGTAGCCTAGATCTAATTGAGGAAGTTTGTCCTTGCATGTCTTTAAGCCTTGCATGAAAGTCCAAACGTTAAATGGGGGGTTTACTGTAGTTAATTAAATTTTTATAGTTTGAGCAGTTCAATGAGAGGAGGATATGGAAAATTTCAGTTTATTTCTCTCAATATGCATTGTTAAGTGTAAACACGTGGTCCAGGCTATAAGAGGGCCCGGGAAAGCAAAGGCACCGTTAATAACAATGAACTTGAGCTTACGTCATTTAGGTTTTACCATCTTAGGATTTTGGCGTCCATGACGTTGGCTCTTACTTGGTCTCGGTCATTTGCTCCATTCATGCATTTGCTTGTGATTGGTGCATAATATATTGTCGACATCCGATTAGCCAATGAGTGTTTGGTTTCGGTTTTGTTGGCCTTGACTATTCATTCTGCATCTCACCATCAGAATGATTTTGAAACCAGGAGTATCTAGGGCATTGTTTCCTAAACTTCCTCTTAAATGTATCGGAAGATTTGCCGGGGGTGTTTTTCGCGCTAGGTATGATTTAAATTTCACGAAAATATTTAGAATTTAGACGCGGTCTACCACCGTCGAATGAATGGGGTCCTCTTACTGATCTTCCGGATTATTCCTTTCTTGGTAACATGGAGTTATTTATGTATTTTAAGATGGTAGAGTTCCAAAGGTGACCACAGTTGGTCAACGAATGCGCTTGATTAAGCAGTATGAAATGACGGTAAGTATCGCCTGTGTTTGCTTAAAATGTTTACTTACTCTTCATTTTTATTCCCATTATTGTGTTTTAGAAGCAGATAGTGACACTTTCTTCCGAACTAAACGAAGCAAATAAGAGGCTTTTAGAAAAACAAGACGAGGAGACCAGACGGATTAAAGCTCTTTCTGAATCACCTCTTAAAAAGAAGGGTTCAGAGAAGTTGGTGTAATAAATAGATTTATTTTGTATAGTTAATTTGTTTTCGATTTTCTTCCCATAGTTTCAGTGAGTCTCCTTTTCTAATATATGTTACGATTGTTCCTAATGTTTGTACTCAACTTTATAGATGGTTTTAATTTATAATAATAAGTCATGTGATCATGCTAAATTCCCCTATTATTCGAATGAGGAATATTCTGTAAATTTATATATCTTAGTGGTCAGAAGAACGAAGTCTGAGATTGAGGGAAAAATAGATGCGAGGAGAATTGGTTAAAGGTCTAGATTTTTTCATGAAAATGACTAGAAGCTGCATGATTTCATTATTAGTCATTAGTCAATTAGGGCTGTGAATCAGAGTACACAACTGCTTTGAGCTTCAAGGATGGTCAGAGGCCGAAGTTGCACATCGAGCAGACAGGGTGTCTATATCTACTTGCTAATTCGAGTTTCTCGTTGCGAACCTCCAAAAAACTCATTAGACAAATGTTATTTATTCTCACTTGGCTCTACTGAATAATCCTCTAACCTATAAATTTCTTGGATATCTTAATGAATTAGAATTTAACGACTAAAACACTAACCAAGTTAAAGGCGGCATTTCGGAGTTGACCTTTTCGACGCAATGGTCTCTGATAGAGGCAGATGAGCAAAATGGTGTCTGAAATACTCGATCAATAGATGTACTGTCATAAAGCAGCGTTTGGCGTGGCATAAAATGATGATCACTTAAGAGGCATTTTGTTCTCGGTGTGATCATAACCGCGTACTCCATATATAGTCCGTAAATACTTCTAAGGCAGCACTTTCTCTTTCAAAAACTACTTCATGCTTCGGAGTATTACTTTATAAAGCTAGTAGAAAGGTTGTCTCTTCTAAAGATTTGACAACGATTGGAACTAGAAGGCGGCAAACTCCAACACTGGGTGAGTGCAATTCGTGTCTTGACTAAGTCGGAGAATTGAGGTAAGCGAAAAATAATGGAAGCCTGCGGTGAGTTAATCGTCTACCATGTATGTGAGAAAGAAAACCACGTATCCTTGAGTTTGTGGAATAGTATGGCGGTTTTGCAAAGCAGAAGGGAAAGACGCAGAACTCATGAACATTCCTCAAAGAAATAGATCAAATGGTCACTAACATAGCTGAATTGTAGTTCTTTACCCAGTGAACTTCATCCGGAGGATTTCGCAGTATTATTTCTTAGTCTTCGAGTAGCGCGAAAATTTTTTCGTTCTGAGGAAAGCGATGAATTATTTACATATAGAATAGAAGATGCAGCAAGAACGCAAGAGAAAGACAACTCCTAGCGATAATAATTAAATTAGATAAAAAAAATAAGAAAAACAGTTTTATTAGTCGCAAAGCGTTTGTAAATTTAAAAAAGGATATGTACACAAGTAAAGGCGATCTAAGATTTTTGAGAATTTTCACCAAGCCACTTTTGCATAACATCCAGTGGGTAATAAGGACCCTCACATTTCATACCACTGATAGGGTCGATGATTTCGCCGACGGGGAATATAACTTTCTTCATCTTATAAACAGTGTTAAATGCAATTGGAGGATCACACTTCTCTACCAACACGATGTCTCCTATATTCACAGCCATGTCTTGCTTGTGGACCCAGTATGTTTGTGTTTGATAAAAATACTAAAACAGTAATTAGAAAATACAACGCGAACCTTAAGCAAAAACTTATTCAAGCAGAGCTTGTGAATTTTGACCTTTATAATATCCTTTCTGGATGCTGTTAGTTCTTGCCCGAATGGTACAACTTTTGCCACAGCTAAGTCAAAAGGTGCTTTAACGACTTTTCCACTATACGATGCCTTGACAGGAGAAACTCCCTCCACTTCAGGTTTGTGGAATGGGAAAAGTTTTTGAATATGAGGTGCAACTAGTCTTAAAACCTCGGGACGCCTATGAAGCCAATACCGAACCATAATTATTCGTATTGTTCACAAGTGTGATCATTCGTTAAAAGCAGGAAAGGTGGTGAATTTTTAATATATAACTAAAGCTATTAAATTACTTTATTAGAAGTAGTAAAATAGAAATTAAACATTCCTGATTAGGCTTGTCGGTACAATAATCCAATGATAAGTTAAATGTTGTTCTACAATTCAGTGAAAAGCATATAACAGCACACTTCAATAACCATATTAAAATTTTATGTTCAATAAATTTAACTTATACACTATAGAAACTATTTTTACACATTCTATTCTACTGCAACTTTTCGATATTGGAAATAATATAGAATTAAATAAATAATTGTGGTTGATCAGTAATCATATACCTGGGTGCCCGGACTACTGTGCGAAGTGTCCATTGTTGAATAATTATATCCAAAAATGAAAAAGGATAAACTAAATTTTTTTGAAATCTGTTAAATTTGATTAATAAAATTAGCTCGTGTAATAATTGTTGGCTATGGGATTCCATTTTCATGCATTTTTTTGCAAATTACATCATGATTGTCTTGAGATATCGATGCTGGAGTATTGGTTCCCAATTGCTGTATCTTCCCAACAAATGTATTTCTTCTCAACTTAGTCAATGTGCATTCCAATAAAATTGCATTACTACAAATGACGGTAATGTGGAGTGCACAATTCTAACACGATTAAGAAAATGAGATTGATTACAAGGACCTCTCAAACAATTGACAATAGTCGTTACGATGTCACCGTGCATAAAATTGTATTTAATATGTAAGCTCTGTGCTTGTGGCATCATAATCCTAACAACCACAATAAATATATTACACATCATGAATTCTGTTTCACCAATATTTTTGAGGCAGCCTAGCCAACTTCGGAAACAATTTCATAGAAATTTTGACATAGAGATTGACGAGGTTAGTCAAAGCTTTTTAATGCAGTATGTAGCAGGAGTTTCTATTCTTAAATCGAGAGGAGTAAAATAGTTAATTAAATTATCAAAATTCAGCTGCTCGGTTTTAAAAACTGCGTGTTTTGTAAATCTAAATAAAATTTAAAAAAGCTCATCCTGATAAACTTGGAGTACGGTAAATATGCTTATGAAGTTCCTGAAAACTAAAATGAAAAGAATTCGCCGCTGTTGAGTGACTAGATATTAGCTTCATACTTTCAATCACCAATGTTTGTACCTGGGGTGTACGATAGACTTACCTCCACGTGGTGCACCCTGGACAACGTATACTCATACGGCAAAAAAGTCTATTAACCGGCAGTTGACTTCTGACTTCAAACTGCCATGATCCCAATGTATGTCATATTCGACCCATTTTACAGTACTCACCTCACCTCTTTTCTACCTTCGTCTTTGAAACACTCTTCTGTTCCCTCCCCATCCCCTCCCGACTTTCTTTCACTTTGATGTTCCTTCCCCTCTGTGAAGTCCGAAGTCAAATAAAGGGCTAATGATAACCATCAAAACGCCTGCAATTTGATATAAATAAACAAATAACTGTTTGTACCTTGGTGATAACTTTGTCACTTGGCGCTTCAAAGCTGTGGGACACGTTATCGCTCTGTGCGTCATCGCATGCCTGCATGTCTGCTCGCCGGGATTGGGAGGCACGGCCGTACAACTCTGTGTGCGGAGACAGTACAAACAGTGACCAATCATCAACCTCTGTTTAACCCCCCATCCTGATCATGATCAGGCCCCCTACGTATACACGTTATCCGCAAGATACTCACCGAATAAACGCTCTCCGTGCTACACGTCTGTTTCCTTTATAGCTGGGCTATAGCTTGGCTAGTTCTGGGAGTCTAGCTAGAT